TTCATACCAAACATGTCAATAAGAAACTTAAAATTCAATGAACATTTATTAAGCAACTCCTGCATACCAGGCACTATGCTAAGTGCTCGGGATGCAAATAAGAAAAAGAAAAGCAGTTCCTGCCCTCATGGAAGTTGCAGTCTAATAGGGGAAGTCAAAAGGAAGCTGGAGGGGTGGAGGTCAACACTAAGAATACCCAGTGTGGGAGCATTGTGTTCTATGGATTTCAAACCAAACAAAACTGCAGATGGAAAGTAGTGAGGGAACTGGGAAGGTGTTGACTTGAGTGTCCAAGGCCAAGTTTCATGTCTGGTGATGAGCGTCTTGTTCCCTGGAGTCAAATCAAACAGAGCTGCAGATGGAAAGTTCAGATCCTGCCCATAAAATGATGTTGGGGGCACACCATACATAATTTTAAACAAGAGAACAAAAACATGGCAGCATTTAAATACATACATGGTTGTGTTGGACCGAATGTGGATGTAAGAGGTAACAAAAGTGAATGAACTTCACTGTGGCATAAGAAAAAGAGCTCTGGGTTTGGTGTCTGGACACCAGGTTAAAATTCTGCCTCAGACACTTAGTCACTGTGTGAACATTAGAAAAATTATTTAACATCTCGGAACCTCAGTTTTCTCATTTGTAAAATAGGGGTTGTAGTAAGGTAATTGTAAGGGTTTGTTGTAAGGGAAAGCACTTTAGTAATCTTAAAGTTAACAAATCTAGCTTCTTATTACTAGGCTATGAGTTATTCAGTAAGACAAATGTTCAACAACATTTTTTAGGGAGCATGCATTTAGGTAATATCTTAGAAGTCAACTAGTGATCCTGGGTATTTACTGAGGACAATAATCCTGGTCTATGCAGTTTTGAATTTTTCAGCTTTAAAGCTATTACTTCCTACATCGAGCTTTTTTTTTTTTGAAGGCCCATGGGTATTAGAGGTTTTGTGCCCGTGAATTTATTTTGTGCCTATTAGGTACCCAGTAGTGGGGTAAGCTGTGTAAGGGAAACACTTAAGTTATGTGACAGGGCTTCTGCTCTCAAGGAGATAGCATTTGTTTCTGTATAGAGATGTAGTATATGTATGTATACATATGTATGTATGCATATGCTATTTATATGTTAGGTTTGCAAAGTGCTGTAAAATATTAGCTTAGTTTATCCTCCCACACTTAGCACAGGGCCTGACACATAATAGGCTCCTAATTATCAATAGTTGACTGACTTACTCATAATCGCTCTGGAGGTAGGTGCTATTAATCCCTCCATTTAAGAGATGAGGAGACTCAGGCAAAGAGAGGTTAAGTAACTTGCCAAGGATCGAGTGTGTGTGTGTGTGTGTGTGTGTGTGTGTGTGTGTGTGTGTGTGTGAGAGAGAGAGAGAGAGAGAGAGAGAGAGAGAGAGAGAGAGAGAGAGAAGCATGATTTGGGTAAGACCTAGTAGCTGTCAGACAATCAGAGAGCTGTATGTTTATCTAATTTCAAAGATCAGAGTCATGTTTTTTAGCATTGCATATTATGGCTTTGGTTGTATCATTTCACACATGTGTCCCTGTTCTCAATTTCTCCATTTGTTAACTACATGCATATAAATTATTATGAATATGATGTTGGTGGTTATCACATTATGTATATGAATTATTTCATCTTAATACTTTGTTGAAATTGGTTAACAGGGATCTCCCAAAGGCTCATCAGAGCATGAATGCAGTGATGAGAAGGTCATAATTCTGAACTCCTTGAAGAGTGTGTGTGTTTCCTCTTTTTCTATGTCCAGTTAGACTTTGGAGTGGCATTTATCTGGTCTCAACAAACACTGTAACTGGAACCAGCCTCTGTTGTACTTTCATATGAAAGGCAGGGGGTAAATACAGGCAGGTGCTGTTTGGTAATTTTTCGTGTATTTATTTTGACCAGAGCCCTAATTATTAGTTTAAAAAAAACTTTTGAAGAAGTTGTTACAATGGTAGTGGACACATGAGTAAGAACCTAAATGAACACAATGAAAGCGGTCACTTTCTTAAATCCCATTTCGTTTTAGATTAGGTTAGGCATTTTTAAAAAATTATTTTCACTTCTAAATTCTCTCACTCCCACCACCCCCCATTGAGAAGGTAAGAAGTGTAATACCCATTATACATATGAAGTCATACAAAATGTATTTCCACAATGGCTATATTGCGGGGGGGGGGGCAGGAAACACAAAAAAAGTGGGAAAAAATATGCTTTAAACTGTATTCAGAGTTCATCAGCTCTCGCTCTCTCTTGCTCGCTCGCTCTCTCGCTCTGGAGGTAGGTAGCATTTATCATCATGAGTCCTTTGGAATTGTCATGAATCATTGTATTGATCACAGTGGCTAAGTCTTTCATAGTTGACTATTGTTACAATATTGCTGTTGTGTACCAGTTCATGTAAGTCTGACCAGGTTTTTCTAGAACCATCCCCTTCATTTCTTATAGCACAAGAGTATTCTGTCACATTTGATCCAGTCAACAACTCTGAGAGATAGGTACTGTTATTGTCGCCATTCTGCCGTGGAGGAAACTGAGACAATTAGAGTTTCAGTAAGTTACTCAGGGTTGCATAGCTAGAAACTGTCTGAGACCAGATTTAAATTTAGGTCTTCCTGACTATAGGCCCTGTGCTCTATCTGGTATTCCACCTAGCCACTAATTTCAAAGGGATTCCTTTTAGAAAATTGTTTCTGGATAAGCACAGTGGCACATATCTGTCATCTCTGCTGCTAGAGAGTTTGGGGCTTGTGGATTGCTTGAACTTGGGATTTCTGGGCTATAAGGAGGGCTAAAGCAGATCAGGTGTTCATATTAAGTCCAGCACCAATACAGTAATCCCATGGGAGTAGAGGAGGGGACTGGAGGAGGGGGAGAGAGCAAGGATACCTGAGGAAGGGCAAATTTATCCAGGTTGGAAACACAACAGGATCTTTCAGTAGTAGGATTGGGTTTGTAAGTAGCTACTAGAAGGAAAGAAAAAACAAAAGGAAAGAGGAAAAATGTTTCAGGAAGAGACAAAAGACAGAAATTTCAGTGGTGATTTTTATTGTCTCCAAATTATTCTTTAGAAAAATTACCTACAATTCAATAAAACTCAAAACATTAGAAATCTATATGGATTTTGGTTGCTTATAGTATTAATAAAAATCAAGTCATTTTCATCAGAGGTAGAAAGAATTTATTTCCTTTTAAATTAATGGAGTTTTTTTTTCCCTCCTTCAAGTTACAAAGTGCTTCAAATTCCAAAAGATGTTGTGGGATATTTTATTTAAACAAATTATTCCACTGTAACTCTGAAATTCTGTGATTCTTCTAACTGTAGTTTATCTTAAAGGAATCATTTCAAAATTGAATGCATAGATACTCATTTTTCTGTCAGGGTCTATTGCTAGAACTTTGCAGAAGGATTAGATCAGCCCAGGCAGTGCTGAAAGCTGTAGAGCTTTTTGTTCAAGATATTTATGGTTAACTTCAAAAGAGAATGCATGTGGTGTGACTGGAGAAACTCAAAAGAAATGGGAGACAGGGACAGGAAGGGAAGCAGCTTGCCCATCCTCTCACTGGGGAAGTATCACCTCTAAAGCAGGAGTGGGAAGGGGCAGGGAAGGGGTATAACTGAGGATGTAGCCACTGAGCCTCAGGCACAGTGTTTTTCGGGCCATGACAAGAAAAACAACTCCTTGATGGTCTTGCAAGAGGCTGCTCGTAGGACTTGGTATATGATTGCACAGTGTACACACTGGAACTCCTGGGTTCATGCTTCAGAGTAGCTCCAGGAATTCCAGGGGCAGAGCATCTCCAAGATTGGGGCTGTTCAGGGGTTTTATGGAGACAGGGCAGAACAAGTTCCGCTTAAGCAAGCCTGATTTTGATAATTGTATTTCAGTATAATTGGTTTCCTTTGTAATCCTGTGCATTTTATTTTATGCATTTAAAAACATGATTCTGAGAAGGGACTTATAGTCTTCACTTGATTGCCAGTGGGGATTCATCACACACATATATACACACACACAACACACACACACACACACACACACACACACACACACACACACACACACACACAAAATGCTTAAAAGCCTCTGATCTAGGTCAGGCATTATTTTCCTTATAGTAGCGCATAATTTTGAATGTTTCTGTCAGAGACCAAGGAGCAGTGTCTTAAACATAAGACATTGCTCATTTAACACTGCCAGAAAGAATCTTATCTGTTAGTTGAACCTACAAAACAGATTAAAGGAAGATATTCCATAAAGGCAGAGGCACTTGGGAAGCCTATAATGATGAAACAAGAAAGCTTTTCCTTCCTTTCTTCAATTCTAAGTTTGTTGTGCCTTAAAGTTAGCCTCTCTTGTTATGCCCAGAGAAGCATTTCTTTCTCTCATTAAATACAAAAGCTGGCAGTGCCAGCAATTTGATTCACACTTAATGTGGGAAGAAAATACCTGTTTGTACTTCAACAAGTAGAACCTGTTTTTAATATGTAACTTGCCAGCTCCTGACTGGGTGTTCTTTTTAAGTGCAATTACACCCTCAAGAATACACCTCTCTAAGCCTTAAATCCTTTTCCCCCTTGGCTTCTCATTTTGTTAGGCTGCAGCCACAGTATTTAGTAATTGAGCCTTTTAGTGGGATTGGGGGCCAGGTGGCAGCAGGTGGGAGTCACCACTAAAGATGGAGAGACCTGTTGCACCAAATGATTAACCAGTTGGGAGTTAGGTTAGTGAACTGAAGTGATGGCCTTCTTGACGGACAGCTGTGAATATTGCAGAAGAATTTTTCCCCCACTTTGTGACTTCAGTACCTAACTTTGCAAAGTTCTGTGTGGGAGCCCATTTCATGTCAACCATGGTAAAATTGTATGTGAGGAGCTTAAGTCGAATACCTGGGGTTTTGTTTGTGAATTTGAGAAGTGATATTTCTTTAACCCACTGCTGCCATAGATAATTCATTCCTTGTCCTCTTTCATTTCTTTGTAGATGGTGGCCCACGGGAAACATTAATGCATTTTGCAGTGAGACTGGGACTGCTGAGGTTAACTTGGTTTCTGTTACAGAAGCCAGGTGGAAGAGGAGCTCTCAGCATCCACAACAGTGAAGGAGAGACTCCCGCCAGCCTGGCTTTAGAACGGGGCTATCAGAAGCTTCATCGACTTTTGACAGAGTAAGCTTTTTTCTCCTTGTTCTCTTCCTCTCAGCCAGTGCCTCATATCTTTACACTCCCATTCATATTAACACACTGGTTGGTATTCTTCCTGTCCTTTATAGCATGCCGCTAATAGAGACCAAAATCTATATATTCTGCTGGATCATCGCAAACTTGTCCTTTATTAAGGCTTGTGGGAAATCTAGGGGTATTTTTTTCCATCCTAAGTGTCACCATATCTCCCTGTTTCCTTTACTCTGCACTCCTGTTTTATTAGTTGGGGGTGGGGCATGCCTGTTGCCTAGCTTTTTGCTCTCTCATTCGTTACTGAAAATGTATAATGAGTCAGGGATTTTGGGGAGCATTAGGCAATTTGTAGAGATTCTAAGACTTGAAACTTGCGTTTGTTTCTTCAAGATGTTGTTTCTTTAAATTAGAAGCCAGTCAGTACTTTAATACTGTAATTGTGTACGGACAATGTATATTAACCACAAGGGATTTCTTTGAATTGTAACACATGTGGTTAAAATAGAGAGCAGAGGTCTCTCCTATGAATACAGTAATAGTCAACAGAGTTGTCCTGGAAACTTGCAGTAAGTAATGCCTTCTGTGTGCATGTTTGTCTTCTGTTTTTCTCCAGTCTTCTTAAGAGTGCTTTTTTGGTTATTTTAACAGTTAATAGATTTAGGAAGATTTTTTTAATTTAAAAAAAATTTAACAAATTGAACTAGTTGAACAAGAATAAACTCGTATTTCAGTGGAGTACTAGTAAAGGCAGAAATTACAGGCACAATTTCCTAAATAATAACATATTTGTTTAGTTTTGTGTCCTGCCACAGTAATCTGGTGGTGATTTTTCCTTACAGAGAGCCAACTAAAACCATGTATACTCGTTCTTCAGTAGGTGTTCCTTGACAAAACAATTCCTTATTCTTAAGGTTAGTGTGCCCCAGCTTTTAGGCCTTGTCCTTCTCTTGAGTATGACTTTGTTGGTGTTTTATTTGGGGGTGGGAGGAGGGAACAGAAGGGGAAAGGTACAGAGAGTTTTTAGAATCATATTCTCTCTGTGCTTGTGCCAACAACTTGTAACTACTTCATAAGATTTCTAGTAGAACCACCAAGAATAGTTGATATAGAAAAATGTCATTGATTGTGTTGCATGGATGGTGGGAGGTTGCCATGTTAGTCTTGTGAATGTATGTGTGTATGGATACCTGGGCTCTGTTGACACATCGGTTCTAGTTCAGTGATATGCCGGTGGCCATACAATTCCCATCTGGCTAATGTTAAGAGTATTCGTTTAGGATAATTGAAATTGGCTTGCTATCTACGCTAGGGAAAAAAAGCAGAATGCTACAAGTTTAAACACTTAGCATTGTGGGAGAAAGGGGTATGCATTTCAAATGGAATTCCTTTAGATTTGGTTGTATAGTTCAGAACATGAACTAGATAATACCAATACCGTCAAAGACTGGCTGGCAGAGTTAGTATTGTGCTCTAATCCAAATGAGGAAATAAAGTTATTACAACACCTCCTTTTTGTGCTTGAAAGATATGTCACAAGACTGATATTGCAACACTGCTTTAAGGAAATGAGAGGTTGTATGATAGTTTTTCTTTAAAAGTGTCATTGCATTGGATTCTCTACTCATATTTATGTATTTGGCGGGGGCTGGGAATAGGTGCCAGAGGATGTCAAAGATCCAGTGTTGTTCCCTGCCAACTGCAGAGACTTCTCAACAACTCTGCTCCTTCTCAAGCCTGCTCCCATGAGTCCTGCCCTTGGCTTTAGAGCTTTTCATTCTGAATTCATCGGACTGTAAACTCCAGCTCAAATCACTGCTGTTATTAGAACCTGAGTTTGGAGTATGCTGTGCCTGATCTTCCTTCCTCATCCCTACTTATACCACTGCCACCACCATTTGCTCCTTTTTTCTGGCACCTCATTCCTTTCCCTGCTTAGCCCATATGTTTACTAGGTTGTTCTTCATAAGGGAAAAAAGTAGTATTCAGAAATATCAAGAATAGGGTTGAAATTAATGGAAAATGCATTACCACCCCCACCCCCCAGGCCCCCAAAAAACAGAAAGAAGGAGGGAAAGCTGCTCAGTGCAGATTGTTCACACTATAACTTTTTAAGCTATTTGTGACTGAGGTTTTTGTTTAACTTTGATCCTGTGATAGTAATAGGCCTCCACATCGCCTTCTCCCCTGGCCTTCATGCTTTGTTATACTGCTTTACTTTTGTTCTCTGATGAGAGTGACATCTTTACCATCAGAGCACCCCCATGCCAATTTGAGATTCATCCCCCTGAAAGCTGTAAAGAGAGCTAATTTGCCTATTTTATAATTTTAGACTTCCTCTTAACCAATTAGGATACTTCACGATTGCTAGTAAGTGTCTGAGGTCAGATTTGAACTTGAGTCATCCTGAATCCACTTAGGTGGTGTAATGAATAGAGCACTGAGCCTGGAGTCAACTGTGTGATCCTGAGCAAGTCACTTAACCCTGTTTGCTTCAGTTTCCTCATCCGTAAAATGAGCTGGAGAAGGAAATGCAAACTATTCCAGTATCTTTGCCAAGAAAACCCATAAGGGGGTCACGAAGAGTCAGATGCAGCTGAAAAACAACAACAGCAACAACAGGAACTTGCTGACTCCAGGCCCAGAATTCTAGCCACCTATCCATTGCACTCCATCAGATTGTTTTAAGAAATCTCTCATTTTAATTGGGGTGGATAATGTTGAGTCTTTGCTTTAAGTTTCTTTTTCACTTTTTAAATTTTTGTTTAGGGGCAGCTAGGTGGCACAGTGGATAGAGCACTGGCCCTGAAGTCAGGAGGACCTGAGTTCAAATCCGGCCTCAGACCAAACACTTGACACTTACTAGCTGTGTGACCGTGGGCAAGTCACTTAACCCCAGCTGCCTAACCAAAAAAAAATAAATAAAATTTAGACCTTTTGTTTTACATTATCATTTCTAAATATATACTTCCCTTCTACCTCCCACTCCTGGCATCCCTTGGCTGTTGGGTAGATGATCTACTTTAACTCCCTAGCAATACCTACTGACTTTGATTTCATCAGCTGCTTTGAAGGGTGATTTTATTTTAGCTACCTTTGTAGCTGGAAACCTAAAAAGCAGGGTTTGTTTTTTAACCTTTTTGTGTCCTAGATCTCTTTGACAGCTCATTGAAATATATGGACCCCTTCTTGTAATTATATTTTACATGAATAAAATAAAATACATTAGGATTGCAAAGGAAACCAATTATATTGAAATATACTTATCAGAATTTTTTAAAATTTCACGGAGCCCAGGGTAAGCATCTTTGATGTCAAAATTTAAAGATAAAGAAAAGTTGGAAGAACTAGAGTTAGCCTCAGGATCACACAAGATTTACAACCTAGAAGGATCTTAGAAATTGTCTGTCCAACACTCTCATTTTACAAATGAAGAAACTGAGATTCAGATGAAGTTACCTTGAGTAATTTCTGATCTCTGCAAGGCAAAAATACTAGAGTGGTTTGTCATTTCCTTTTCTAGTTTATTTTACAGATGAGGAAACTGAGGCAAATGGGGTCAAGTCTAGTGCCTTTTCCTCATGATCAGTATTTCAAAGGGAAAGAATAAAGTGATATTTTCATTTTCTCTTCCAAAGTGTAACTAAGGTAGAATCATAGGATATTAAAACTGGAAAGGCTCTTTGAAATCATCAGATCTAATCTCCTAATTTTATAGATAGTTAAGTAACTTACCCAAAGCACAAAGCTAGTCAGTGGCAGAATCTTCTGATTCCCAGTCTAGACTTCTTTTCACAGAGCTGCAGAGTTTACCAAAGATTCTGAATTTAACACAATGCCTTACACATAGTAAGTAGACGTACTATGTTGATATGTTGATAAATATTTGTTTAATTTAACTGAGCTTAGAGAGCTTTCTTCCTATAAGTCTATCTGATTCCTTTTCCCTTCCCTTACTTGTATATATCAATTTCTTTGTAGTTGGTTTGCCTCTCTCCCCCCACTTCTTTCTGTTGGACTCCTCCTTTCTCTCATCGTCTCTTTTTTTAATTTACCATAATGTAAAATTGAAGTATTTTTAAATAATCATTGCTGTTACTAAAGTTTTATGTTGCCTGTTCTGAGTTTTAAATAAAATGTCAACTTTTCTTATGTTTTCATCAACGTACCCTACTGCCTCAAAAAAAATGCTGAATTAAGTTTAAATTCATTTTTATGTAAATTTTCTTTTTTAATATGAACTTAAAAAGATCAACAAACAAGAGTATTTAGAATGCAAAGAACAAAAAAGTAGAATGAATACATATGGAAACTCAACTTCTGTTATATGCTATTTATTTAAAGGAAATATAAATTAAATTTAACATGATAGTAACAAAATTGCACTGTTTGTGTCCATTTCTAAATTCCTTTTTGTTTTCTTCTGTGTAATTTTTAATTTCTTCTTTAATGCCCTTTTCTTTTCTTTCTTCTCTATCATTACTGACTAACTTCTATAAGACTGTCTCCCCAATATAGCTTATTTTTTTGTTTGTTTTTTTAAATAATGTGTTATTTTTTTCCAATTACATGTAAAAACAGATTTTAACATTGCTTTTTTAAATTTTCAATTCAAAGTTCTCTTCCTTTTTCCTTCCCCTCCTCTTTCCCTGAGATGGCAAGCAACTTGATGTAGGTTAAGCATGTATAATCATGCAAAACATATTTCCATATTAGTCGTGTCATGAAAGAAAATAGATACCCCCAAAAAACCCCCCACAAAAAATAAAGTGAAAAATAATATTATTTGATCTGTATTCAGACTCTCGTCAGTTCCTTCTCTGGAGGTGGATAACATTTTTCATCATGAGTCCTTTGGAATCGTCTTGAATCATTGCATTGTTGAGAAGAGCTCAGTCATTCACAGTTGATCATCATACTATACAGTGTTCTACTGGTTCTGTTCAGTTCACTTTGAATCATTTCATGTAAGCCTTTTCTAGGTTTTTCTGAAA